TGAAGTCCACATCTCTTGAAGTTGCCAAGGTTGAGAAACGCTGGATTAAATGATCTCCAAGTCCCTCCCAAGCCATACATTCCAATTCCATCATACCTTTCCTTCTTAATTTCTGTTTGAAGTCTTCTTCCCCCAGCTGGCAAGAAAGGATTGTCACTCTGCAAACACAGTATGCCATTTCCCCCAAAAAAGATCAGCTGGGGAGGTGCCGTCCACCCACGCAAAGCACCAGGATTGTCTTTGATGGAATCCTGACTTGGAACATGGAAACTGGACAAGAGATCACACCAGGATCTCTTTGGCCCCCAGGACAAAACATGTTAGTTTGTCCAGAATTTTAAGCCTGACTGTTATTGCCCTTCCTCTCTCTGGAAGAGTTATGAATTTGCTGCCTCTGAATGCCGGTGTTACATGAAAGCTGGTGGGCTGTGCGGAACGGCTTTCCTTTTATTGTACTTTTATTACCGTGCCCTGCAATTCATCAGGATGACGGATGGACGCTGTCTTTTTATAAATAAGGAAACCGGAAAATAAACAATTGCATAGAAACACGCCCAGGAGTCTGTTATGTTTACCTGAAAGGAAGACAACCCTGAATTTAAAGCAATTTTCCCTCCCCCCACCAAAAAAGTAAACAGACAAATACACACACACACACACACAAATCCTGAGCAATGCTTAGCATCCCCACTTTGTCAGTCTAGAGTCTGCCAGGATCCATCTTAAACAAAGGCTACTTATTTTCTTCTCTATCCACCTCTAAACCTTTAATTTAAGGTTTTATGTGTTTAGATATTTTATGTTCTAATGTTTGTTGTAAATCGCCCAGAGTTCCCCATTGGGGAGAGATGGGCGGTTGAAAAATTTAACAAATAAATAAATAAATAAACAAACAAACAATTGTATGGATTGACTTGTATGTGCAAATATGTATATGTGTAAGTTTGTATAGCACAAAGAGAGAGAGAGAGAGATTAATGTATTACTATAATTCATGTTAACTCCTTATCAAATACATCTGCTGAGATTAGAGCAGGCTACAGCTTTAATAAATAGATGAATAAGGCGGCCCGCTACTAAAATCAATAATTCCCCCATTTGCAAATACCAGCTATTCTTTTGCACCCAGACTTGCATTTTTAAATCCAAGCGTTCCTCTCCCTTCTTCCAGCAGAAAAATCAAAATCAAAATCAAAATCAAAATCAGAACCAGAACCAAAATCAATATCTAATAATAAATCCAGATTGTGATGGCATAAAGGGAGGAGGAAACTAGATGAGGAAGGAACAAAGAGAGAAATCGTGCATGGGAGTTACGAAAAAGGTTAACATCCTGAATCAGCCACTAATCAGGATATCCCCCAACCAAGCTTTCCAACTGGACATTCCCCAGAAGCTGGAACGGCAATTCCCAGAATTCCATGGCTGGAGAATTCTGGGATTGGGGAAGGCTGCCTCAGCCCAGACCCACCGGTGTCTCACTGCTGTAAGCGATGATCTCCAAGACGGAGTTCTTCTCGCAGGTGTCGATGCTGGAGAGGTCATAGAGCGACGAGTGGACGGGTCCGTAGGCCCACTCGGTGAACTTGCGGGACAGGTGACGACATTCCGGTTCCTTCATCTCCCGCCGGAGGATGTAAGCGAAGACCTGATGCCAAGAGGGAGAGATGTGGGGTGCCAATGCTTTGATGGACAAGCAGCTGAGTTGGAGCTCTGGGCAGAGAACGTGGAACTTCTCAGAGGAGAAGACCTCCAGCCGAAGTCTTTCTGCAGGGATGTCCTTGAAGATCTGCCACGATCAGGGACTTTTTTGTGATGGCCTGGCCATGATAGAACCTCACACCTTGCAAGGCTCACTGGAAGTGGCTCTTATCCTAACTGGTTCCGAAGAGTTTGCGCTGATCCCCCCCAAGATCTCAGGAAAGACTTCGTTTTGTAGAGAGGACAAAGATAGAACCCACCACTGAGAAGAATCTGAAATCATGAACTGGAACCTTAAAACCCTAAAAGACAGGGGCATCGGTGGGATGAAGGAGGGGGCAAAAAAGTCAGGATGCATTGCACATGACTCGCACATTAGAAAGAGGCAGAACTTTGACCGCATCGTGTCCGTCCACCCCCAGCCGTTGCAGATGCCTCTGCAAAAACATCTTGGAAGTCAAGGAAGTTTTTACAAGACGCCCCAACGAAAATGGAGGATAAAGGGAATAAATTGTGGGTGGTCATCCTCAAAGTCCGGTAGTTCAATGACTTTGCTGTCCCTTAATTCCATTATTGTCAGGCCTAGCCCAAGGAACTCCAAGAGACAATGCAAAATCAGTCCAGCTATGTTTATTAGCTACAACCTCTAGCAAGAATCTTCCTCAACTGAAACCCCAGCCCCAAAGCCAGCCAGCCACAACAGTGTGAATTCCTCAGGGAGGTGCCAGTCTCATCCTCTTGTAGCTCCCACGCTCCTGCGGTGAGCTAAGAAATGCTT